GGGAGATCCTAGCTGGGGGGGGGGGGCAGAGTGGGATCTATTCCTGCCACCCACCACTCATAGCTGACAGGCAGGGGGCTGGTGAGGAGGCTGGCAAGGGGGCACAGTTTGGGCATTTGCAGCCTGGTGGAGCTGCGCTGTGGGGGAGAAAGTCCTCATCAAAGGAGTATTTTTCCTTGCCACAGAGGCCACTGCCCCATCACTGTGTACACTCCCCATCACTGTGTGCAGTGGGGAAAGGGCTCTCAGTGGGGGTGTTCACATCTCTCTTGAGCCTATGAGAGAACTGGGGACAGAGTGATCCTAAACTCCATCCCACCTTTCTTCCCCAACTCAGGCCACAGGTACCTGTCATAGCTTCTCATTTGACCTCCTGTCCCTTGAGTAGGAGAAAGCTTTTTACAGGTGAATTATGAATACCTGACAGGTACTCTGAGAGCATCTGACTTTAGTCCCTGCTTTGTACAGTTTCTCCAGGTGCTGTACACCTCTGTAGAGTGCATGGTCAAGCTCAACTGGATGCTGATGTAGCCTATCCCCTTATGGCAGGGAGTGCATCAAGGCTGCCTGCTGTTGAGCCAGCTCTATGCCATCATTTTTGAGCTCTTCCTCTGTCTCTTTCACAAGCAGACCGCAAGTCTGGTGCTCAGAAGCCACCCATAATTGTGGTCCTCTTGACGTATGTTGATGATGTGCTCCTTACCATCTAGGACCTATGGAAAACATAGCACAAGTTTAGGCCTGGACTTGACTGCATCTCTGCAAGCGTACTGTGCTTCTCTTTGCATGGGGTGGGGGCAGAGTCTGGTCTGCATCTGCAGCCAGGTACACAACTTTCTTTTCCCTTTCCTACATCCAGGAGGACCTACACAAAGGCAGTCCCCACCTGCCCATATCCCCCAGCCTTCTGCAACTTGTCATGGAGCCCCTGCTTTGAGAGTCCATATGACACCACCTCAGAAAGCTGGGAGACATCAAGCTGGTCTACTTCTGAAAAGTCCATTACTGCCATCTCTATATACTTTTCCTCCACGTGCTCCACCATCCTGTCCTTGTCTCCCACCCAGACACCAAGTGGTGGGACACCTTTGCTAAGGGCAAGGATCCCCAGTGGATCAACCTGTATTCCACTGTAATCTTACAAACCACCAGGGACCTAGATTGGTGGCTCTTGCATGGACCTCTCTTCATGGATGTGTTATCTGGTATGCATCACAGACCTCCCTGACACCTGCTTCTCTGTCAGCAGAGGGAGACCCTGGTGCATGTCAACTTGAGTGCACCAGGCTGCAGCTCATCCACTTACTTTTCAGGAACCTTCTCCTGATGTTCTGGCTGCACTTTTCCCAGCATCTTTTAATTTATACACTCCTCATCTGAGGTCATACCAAGTTCTGGGGCTTTTGGGTCAACCTTCTCTTGGCTCCTCTTGGCTTCTGGCTTGGGTTGGAGCAAGCTGCTTGGCCTGGGTAGGGGGACCTGTTACTCCGGGAGGGAGGAAGGGGGTGCAGGATGCAGGCACGGTAGTGCTGGGAGTTGGGGCTCTGCCCTGCTGCCACTTGCCCAGTCGGGCAGGATGCAGGTGCGGCTTGCTCCAGGCAGAAGGGACAAGTGGCAGCAAGGCATAGCCCCCACTCCCAGTACTGCTGCACCTGCATCTGCACCCTGCGTGCTGGCTGGCAAGCAGTGGCAGGGCAGAGCCCCCACCCCCAGTGCTGATGTGGGCATGGCAGCACTAGGAGTGGGGGCTATGCCCTGCTGCCACCCAGAGCAAGCGGCGCCTGCATCACACTCCTCCCCACCCCCGCACCAGCTGAGCAAGCAACAGCAGAGCATAGCGCCCACAACTGGGGCAGAGGCAGGCACAGCCAGAGGAGCTTTGGGAGAAACCCCCATGGCTTCCCTGCCCAGCTCCATCCCTTGCCCGCTCAGCCTCCCGACACTTAAAAAAAAAAAGAAAAAAGCCTCACACTCACCAACTCTGGCAGCAGTGATTGGGGCCTCTGAGGGCTCATTGCAGAGCCCCCCCCATGAAGCGCAGGGCAGTGGGGGGCAGTGAGGATCGCCCCCCCTGCTTGGCATCCATGTGGCAGCTGCCCCATGGCATGAGTGCAATGTGGCTCAGCAAGGCACCGCACGCTGTCTGGGAGCTCTGGTGGATGCAACTGTCAGCCAGAACCCAACAGCACTCAGCCCCAGTGGCCCCAGCTCCCAGACAGTGAGCAATGCCCTGCTGAGCTACGCTGCACCTGTGCCATGGGGCAGCTGCTGTGTGGGTGCCAGGAGGGTGGGGGGCAATCCCTGCTGCCCCCAACTACACCGCACTGCATGGGGAGGCTCTGCTATGAGTGCCCAGAGGCCCCAATCACTGCTCCTGCAGCCAGTGAGTGTGGGGCTATTTTTTCTTTTAAGTGCTGGGACTAGGCTGGGGCTGCTGAGGGATGGAGCTGGACAGGGAAGCCATGGGAGCTTCTCCCATGGCTCCTGCTGCTTGGGAGAGGCAGGCACAGCCAGAGGAGCTGCCCAGCTGTGCCTGCCTCTCCCCAGCTGATTCGGAGAGATTTGAGGATTTGGATCACCGAATCTCTGCAAATCAGCGCTGAAACTTCCAAAGCTGATTCGGCTGAATCCATTCAGGACAGTTATCTCCGAACCAAATCACTGTCCCCTGAATCAGCTGAATCTGAATCCAAATCCAAATCCAAACTGAATACTTCCCTATTCACACAGGTCTAGTTATTACTAACTTTTCATCTACAATTTTGTTTAGTCAGTTTTTGAACTAGGCTATACTTTCTGCCTCTATGACTCTATGACTTTCTGCAGCTATGAGTTGCACAGGTTAAATATTTCCTGTGTAAAAAAATAATTTCTCTTATTTGTTTTAAGCCTGTCTCCTGTGATTTTCATTAATTCTAGTGTTCTGGGACTGTGAATAACAGTTTGCGAAGGACTTTGTCCACACTCTTCATGATGCAATAGACCACTATCATATCCTTCCTCAACCTTCTCCTTTCCAAACATTTTAGTAGGTCTTGATATGACAGCAGCTATTTACCCTCGTCATCTTGTTTCCTTTCTTTCTACCTTCTCTCATTCTACTATATCCTTTTTGTGATGCAGAGACCAGAAATTAACACAATTTTGCACCCAAACTAGCTATATCCATCCATCTTGCAACTAGATTCCCCTTGCTACCTTGCTCACACAATGCTGGTGTATACCTCCTTTTTTTGCTTTTTAGGCGTCTATTGAAATATTAAATCATTTGCTGTGTCTGTGCTGCCAAAAAGCTGATTTTTCATCTTCATCATTTTGTTGTCATTATCATTTTCTTTTCTATCTGTCATCTTCATCTTCTTCCTCATCATTGTCACCTTCCAGCAAGTAGATGGTAAAATACAGTAAGATTCACTGTAAAATCCTGTTGCAATTCCAGCCAGGTTGTGTAGTTCTTATTAAGAGGTAAATGAGCAAAGCAAACCAGAAGTATGTATATAGTATTGACTTGGCCTAGCTATACTGAGGTATAAACTTGCCACTTCTTGTCTCTTTTAGGAGTTTAGCTGAATTTTGGTGATCTCTTTATCAAAAGATCACCAAAAGTGGGGGTGTATATTTTCAACAAAGATACTACTTCTCTTGCCTGGCGATTACCAGTTGTTGCTAATTTTAGGCAGAGGATTAACAACCAGGTTTTGCACCCTGGGCAAAGGTGGTGGCAGCTGCTGCTCTTACACTCCTTTAAGGGAGGACCTAGGACTAGTGTCTGTGTCATCTACTCCAAGTTATGCTACTGATTTTGAATTTCTCATCCTTAGATTTTGTAATGTTTGATCCATGCTACAAATGCATATTCTTTACCATATGTCAATCCACAGGACTAAAATCAAACAATTGTAGCCTGAATGAACCTTTAGGGAGTTTCTGAACAGCATTTTCAAACACTCTTAAGTTATTATGTGGGTATACCACATGTGGGTATACATCCTCCAAATATTAGCTTAATAGTATTAAATACATCTTCATTTACTATCTAAGAGGGTTGTAAATAACTCAGATAACTTGATTTAAAGAGCAGATGTATCAATCCACTGTCATGCAGCCACATTCAGTACATAATTTACAAATCATTGTACAATTGAAGTTACTGGCAAAGTTACCATTCACTATAGTAGATCCAGGAGCATATTTTGTGTTTTCTGTATTCACAAATTATTAATCATATTTAATACATTTTAAGTGATGGATTGTTTGTATTGTACCACTTCAGTTTTGCAATACTGTAGAAATTAAAGGTCAGAGGTACAGTATAAATTGATTCACGCATTTTTCCCTCCAATCATTTCAGATCCTAAATTACTTCTTTCCTCAACAACAGTTCCAGCCTCTGATTTTACCCATTTTGGTGGCAGTAGTTATTCAATAATCCAGTCCAAGATGACATGGGAAGAGGCAAGAAAAAACTGCAAGAATAAATCTTCAGAACTTGCTAGCATTTTAGATGCTTATAGTCAGTCATTCCTATGGCTACAGATACTCAAGTATGGAGAACCTGTATGGATTGGTCTTAACAGTGAGGTGGTAAGAACAATGAATACATGTAAGACTGATTCTGATAAATATCAAAATACACTTGCATTTTCTATATATAAATGTCAGTTGCTTTCATTAGGAAGGTGTGCTGTAAAAGCGGTGTTCTGAATGAAATCACAAGGAGCATGAATGGTATTCTAGTATTCCTATTACAGTTCTATAGCAAGCACATAAATTGGATATGAGGACCCACAGAGAAGGTCATGGTGTACCCATCTACACATGTGCTTGATCAGGGATAAATGTACTCATGAGTAAACTCTCCTAGGCAGGTATCTACAAATGCAGGGAAGGGGAAGCAGATTTCTCGCTAATGGCAGCTAAATACTCTTACATCCTGGGGCTCTGCAGTGGGCCCCTGCTGCCACCAGTGGAGCTCTAGGCTCCCCCTGGGTGCTAGCTCAGGGGCTGGCAGGGAGCACGGGGCCAGGAGACAGCTGTCTCTTGGCTGGGACATTACACTCTGTCCCAAGGGACTGCCTGCTGCTGGGGCGGAGACAATGTTCTCCTGCCCCAGCAGCAAGGAGTTTCTGGCCCTGGGTCCCCGATCAGGGGCAGGGGATTTGGAAACAGGTGAAGGTCCCAGGTCCCTGCCCCAATCTGCCAGTGGGGCAGCTAGCAGCTAGCTCACTGCTAGCTGCCCCACTGGCAGATGGGGTAGGGGCCTGGGACCTACACTACCCTGCAGCTCTTTCTAAGCCCCATGCCTCGATCACCATGGGGCTGGGACCTGCCTCTGACAAGGACAATTCTCAGCCCCCACTCCATTGTGGGGTGGAGGATGGGGAGCCTGTTCCCTGCTCAGCTACATGAGCACAGAAATGGGTGGGGAACAGGTTGGGGAGCTGGTGCTGGGAGATAAGGGTCTCCCAGGCCCCCACTCCCCAATCTCAATGATGAAGCGAGGGCTAGGAGATAAGAATATTCCAGTCCCTGCTCCCCAGTTGTGATCTCAGAGCATGGGGCTTGGAGCTCCATGCTGCTGTGGCAGTGGGGCATAGTCCCCGCCTGTGGAGCCTTCCCCAGCAGTAGGCAACTCCTGGGGGCAGGGAGAAATCTGCCCCTTGATGGCCACCTGACTGGAAGCATATTTTCTCCTAGTCAGGCATCTATACAAGCGATACTATGCCATTACTAATCGAAAGTAAATTTGCTACTTGCATTTGCAGGTAGCATATTTACTCACGATTAGTGAGGTTTGCAGCAGTAAGCATGTGCATGTGTAGATGCACATGCTTACTGTGCAATAAACTATACTACTTTGCAGTAAACCATCTTATGTAAATATACCTGGTGAGAAGCAGTGAAGGAAGAAAGAGAGCTATAGAAACTGTGGGGAAATGCAAGTGTGACTAGGAACCATGAACTGGGATGTACATAGCAGTTTTAAAAGTCTAACTGTCCATTATATGGTTACTTACCATTGAGGTTATTGCAGGTGGGAGAGGGATATTGTATATGTTAATGTTAGGCTGTTGAGTACCAAGTAATACTGTCCAAATTAATCAACATTATAATCTAGATTTTTAAATAAAATAAAAATTCAGATTAGGTAGGATGAATTAGGAAGAACTGTTCCTTGGCACAATATTTTGGAACTGACTTCACATTTACTCATCTTTGGTTTTTACCATGTGTTAGAGGGTTTACATCTGCAAACAAAAGAACTCCATGTTAATAAATAATAGCTCATATTTAGGCAACAAAAGGGCATGTAAACAGGTGATAATACTAGGAATGAGCTTCCCAATTAATTCTGGATATGACCATACCATCATGCCAACTCTGGATCTGCCCTTGGTTTGTACTGTCTTGTAATATCCTCATTATGCCTAATCCATGTATGCTGTAATTTCCTCCGGGGAAGAACTTCCACCATTCAACACAGTCTGAATATTGTTTATATCTATAGTGCCCCCTTACAGGAATGAATAAGTTCTTTCAGATAAAATATTACTCTTCATGTGTCCCAGGAATTCATAAAGAGAAGTAAGATTGAAAAGGAGAAATAAACATAGCTTGTGTGATAAAAAGCTTAAATAAGTGTAATTAAAATTAAGTTTCAGTTATTTTGTGGTGCAAATCATATTAGCTAAATTTAATTATGTTTTCAGATGTCCACATATTACCAATGGACTGATAACTGGTTAATCAAGTATTCTCAATGGGCAATGGGAGAGCCAAAGACTAAAAGAGCCTGTGTCTATGTAGACATAAATGGGTACTGGAAGACAGCATCCTGTAATAAAAACTTCTCTTCAGTTTGCAAACGGTCAGATGGTAAGCAAATAAATGTAACAATTTTAAGAATGCAGTAATTATCATAGGAGTTCACATCAGTAATCTCTTTAGTTCAATATTCTGTTTCCCTCACTGGCTAGTATACAAAGCTTCAGAGGAAAGTCCTTGAAGAATACCCTCCACCTTCCAACCTAACTTTCTATGGTTTTATGATTCTATGATTCTTTTGGAGTGTGGGATTCTACTGTTGCCTAGTATATGGATTTAAAGACTTTGGCATGTTAAAGTCTCAGTTGGTGAAAATGGGAATAGATCTATTGACTTCAATACAAGTATGCCTGTTCACACCAGCTAAGTATGTGCCCTTTTCCTTCTTAGGGATGTTTTCCATTTTTAAAAAAAATTAATGTATGTATTGCATTTGGTTTTGATGTAGTGTAGATTGGCACTCAGAACTCACAGATTCATTGATGTTAGGGTCGGAAGGGACCTCAGTAGGTCATCAAGTCCAAACCCCCGCAGAAAGAGCGCTGGGGTCAGATGATCCCAGCTAGGTGCTTGTTCAGTCTCTTCTTGAAGACTCCCAAGGTAGGGAAGAGCATTATCTCCCTTGGAAACCCATTCAAGATTCTGGGAACCCTTACTGTGAAGAAGCTCTTTCTAATGTTCAACCTAAATCTGCTCTCCATCACTTTTTGGCCATTGTTCCTAGTTACTCCAGGGGGTGCCCTAGTAAATAGAGCATCTCCTATTCCCTGATGAATTTATAGGCAGCCATAAGATCACCTCTCAGCCTTCTCTTGCAAAAGCTGTAAAGATCTAGGTCCCTCAGTTTCTCCTTGTAGGGCTTTGCCTGCAGGCCTCTGACCATATGAGTGGCGCTCCTCTGAACACCCTCAGGAGTCTTTGCATCCTTCTTGAAGTGCAGCGCCCAAAACTGGATGCAGTACTCCAACTGCCATCTGACCAGTGCTGCGTAGAGGGGAAGCATCACCTCCTTGGACCTGTTCATCATGCATCTGTGTCAAGTATCTCCTTCACTTGCAGACCTGTAGGACCCCGCTGTCGGGTATTGCCGTCCCTTGAGGACCTGACGGACGCCGCCTGCCACTTGCCTAGGGTGTCATCAGCTATAATTGGGGTCTCACACATGTACGTTTCTCCTGCCACGACTTGATATTAATGGAGTTGGTTCAGATGCCTTCACGTGTAGTCCAATTATGAGTCTCCCCGGCGTCTCGCGAGGTCCCGAGTTTCTGAGGGCTCCGCCACCCCTACACCCTCGCCCGTTCCACCGGGTGGTGGCCAGCCGGCTGGTCCGTCCACGTATCCTCAGCTCCTCCCAGATAATCCACCACAGAAAGGTCAATCAAAACAAACATGACAACCGAGAAGGCTCCCCTGGTCTGTGTAGCTGCTCTGTCTGTCTGCAGCCACCTTCCAACTCAAACTTGGCCTTCGAGGGGTCAAGCACCCCTTTGTTGGCTCTCTGAGAGCCCCTTTGTAGGGCTTGATGAGATTCCTTTTTAACAGCTTAAGTCCACTATTGGACTGTGCCACTATTACAGGGACTACGGTACCCCAAAGTCAATGGTGCCCCTCTATTAGGGTTATTACGGTACCCTTCTCATGAGGGGCTCAGCCAGCTCCCGGCCAGTAAACAAACAGTTCTACTCCCCACAGGGGCCAGTAAATTGGGTTCCAAAACCCCGCTGGGGTTTTGCTCTCTGCCAGAGGCTCCTACCAGTACTCAACATCGCTTTCAGCATTCCCTGCAGTGTGCGCCGGTGTGCTCCATCTCCTCCTCTTCCTCTTTCTGGTTCTGTGTTGCCTCCACTTTCCAGTCCTGGACTCTTCTTTATACCGGCGGGGAAAATATCAGCCCCTCCCTTCCCAACACACCTGGGTAAGGGGAATTTCTGCTGGGCTCCTTGGGGCTGTGGACCTGGGGCCGCTGAACCTCTGATTAGTCCGGGAGCCTTGGAGCCTGCTGGCTTCTTCTCTCTCTCACACCCGCCTGCCAGCTGACTATTGTGAGACCATTTCTAATTGGAGATCTACACACCCACGTTTTGCCTGCCATGACTTGGTGTTAAAGGAGTTGGTTCAGTACCTGGATGTGTAGTCCCAGTCATCCCGCAAAGGTCCTATGTTCCTGAGGGCTCTGCCACCCCTACACCCTCACCCGTTCCACTGGGTTCTGATCAGCCACTTGGTCCTGCAGTGTGACTTCCATCCCAAGCAGAAGAAAACAAAAGAAAAAACAAAAAACAAAACCAGGCACTCCTGGCCCGGGGTTATGCTTCCAGCTCCTTTTAACTGAGCGAAAAACAAAATTGACTTTCGTGAGGTCAGTCCCTCTTTTTGTTCCCTATCCATGCTTGGGTGGCTCTTCCCGAGCCTCTTATTGAGGTTGTCATGATTCCGCTCATCCCATTAGGTGCATTTGTGACACCATTTTGGCTTGCGCCACCTTTAGGGACTTTATGGTACCACAATTCTATATTGCCCCTCTATTAGGGACTTTACGGTACAAAAACTCTGCCGGGCTCTGCCGGCATGGTAACAAACAGTTCTAAGCACCACTGGGTCAGCAGTCGTTGCACTAAGTTCCCTCTGGGGAGCTTGCTCTCTGCAGGAGTCTCCTACTGGCTCTCCACATTGCTCTGAATATTCCCTGCAGCATGCGCCGACTTGGTGCTCCTCCTTCTGGGTCTACGCTCTCCCCCTCTGTCTGTTCCGCGCTCTTCTTTATACAAAAGTTGGCGCTCACAGCCTCTCCCCTCCAGAAACACCTGGGTAAGGAGGGTTTCTGCTGGGCTTTTTGGGGCTGTGGGTCTGGGGCCACTGACCCTTTGTTTAGCCCTTGTACTTTTGAGCCCTGTAACCCTTTCTCTCTCACACAGTCTACTAATGCATGATAAAGTCCGGTTAGCCTTGTTGGTCACTGCATCACATTGATGGCTCATGTTCATCTTGGAGTCAACTATGACTCCAAGATCCCTTTCTGCTGCTGGGCTGCTGAGAAGGTCATCTCCCACGCTGTAAGTGTGTTGGTGGTTCTTTTGGCCCAGGTGCAGCACTTTGCATTTGTCTTTGTTGAACTGCATCCTATTTCATTCTGCCCATTTTTTCAATCTTCCCACCTGAATCCATTCCCTACTCTCTGGTGCAGGAGTGGGCAATTATTTTGGGTGGAGGGCTGCTTACCAAGTTGTTGGAAGCTGTTGAGGGCCATATGGGTAGCCCCACCCCTGGACAGGTGCCCTGCCCCCTGGTAACCATCTTGGGACCAATGTTCCAGGGCCAGCACTGGCAGGGGAGAGGCCGCCTTCCTCCCCCCATCATGCTCAGCACCAGCTTGTAACACACTCTCACTGCCAGCCTGGACCCCGTGCTGGCTCCGGGATTGCCCATCGGGGCTGTGCTGCTGCAGGAGCAGCTGTCGCCCCCGCTGCTTACCGTACTGGGCAATGTTTGCTGCTGCTGCCTGCCCAGAGCTTGGGCTTTGGGCAGCAGCAGCAAACGCTGCCTGGTGAGGCAAGTGGGGGGAGCTGTAGCTGCTGCTGCCATGGCGCAGCCCTGATGGGTGAGCCCAGAGCTGGCACAGGGCCCAGGCTGGTGGCGGGGGCAGGTTACAAGCTGGTGCTGAGTGCAAGGGAAAAGCAGCCCCTTGCCCGCACTGTTACCGGCACCCCGCGCTGCAGCCACTTGCAGCCTGCATGGGGCTGCCTGTGCCTGCTCAGGACAGCCCCATGTGGCCTGGAGTGGCTGCAGCAGGGAGTGCCAGCCACAGGGTGGGGGAGGGGCCACTTTTCTCCATCCTCAGCACCAGCTCATCCCCTGCCCTTCCCCTCCCCTTTACCTGAGCTTCCCTCACCAGGGCAGGCACATGGTTCCAGGCCAGAAGCCCCGACTGGGTCTTCTGGCTGCGGGGGTGGGGCCAGGAGGGCCCTGCTGTTGAAGGAGCCCACCAGGGCTTTCTCTGTGTCCTACTGCCCTTGGTTCCTGTCATCTTTGACAGGAACCAAGGACATATAAATTTTCATTTTCTAAATATTTTTAGGGGCTCTGTGGGCTGGATAGATTGGCCTCGCGGGCCACATCCAGCCCGTGGGCCATATTTTGCCCACCCCTGCTCTGGTGTTTTAAATTTGCCCCATAATTTGGTATCACCTGTGAACTTGTTGAGGGTGTTCTCTGTGCTCTTGTCCAAGTCACTGATGAAAACATTAAATAGCACTGGTCCAAGGACCGAGTCTTGCGAGACTCCGTTACCCACATCTTTCCAGGTCAATATCGGCCCATCCACCACCACTGTCTGGGTGTGACCCGTAAGCCAATTTGCCACCCACCTGACCATGTAATCATCTACATCCAAGCCTGTCTGTTTATTTACAAGACCAGAATGAGATACTGTATTGAATGCCTTCTTCAAGTCCTGGTAGATGTCATCTACCTTGACTCCTGCATCTAAACGTTTTGTGACCTGGTCATGAA